TTGTACCCGGAGGTGCAGCAGAAGAAAGGTGTGGCAATCTTTTTTTTTTTTTTCTTGAATCAGCCATTAAAAACCCAATGGAGCACAGTTTTCCTCTGACCACTTTGGGTCACCGGAGTCAGCTGACTGATGACAACTGATTGGTTGATGAGGGTGGGGAATCTCTGGGCTCTCAGGGACCCCATCTAATTGATGACTTTTATCATCATTGCCCATTTAACTTAAGCACGTTCTGTATTTAGAAACAGTGTCGGGCCTGCAGCCTACGTGCCTTGGCTTTCTGACTCATGGGAAACCAATGGTGGCCCTTAAGCTGGCCCTGGGCCTCCTAGGGGCAAGCTTACACAGTGCTGAACTCCCAGGAGCCCCAGGTAGCTGGCAGCTCAGGTACTTTCCTTTTCTCATCCTCTCCATGACTCTCCCTGCCAGGTAGCTCTAGGGGTGGGGAACACGTGTGAAGTTACTACGGTTCAGATACAAGATTGGCTTTTGGTTTTAGGAACACTTCGGATGCCGGTTCCATTATCTGAAGGACAGGGGAACATTTCCCATCCTGGTGCCTATTAAATGACCACCGGGCATCCTGGTGAGATGACGGGCCGTTGGCTCCTCTCCAGGTGTCTGCTCCATCAGTCAGTACATACATTCAGTCACCAGACACAGCCTGCTGCCTTCCGACCTCTCCACAAACCCTGCCCAGAATGCAGGCCAGGCAGCACAAGAATAAGGAATCCTGACGATATAAAGTTAGTGCGTGCTGCGAACTGAAAGGTGAATCCGTCCAGTTGCTCCACAGAAGGAAGACCTGGCAAGCTGCTCCCATAAAGGGGACGCCCTAGAAAACCCTCTGGAGCAATTCTACTCTAACACATGGGCGGCAGGGGGTCGGAACTGGCTTGACGGCACATAACAACAACATCCCACTGATGGAGGCCCTGGATGGCACAAACAGCTAAGCACTTGGTCACTAAAGGAAAAGTTGGGAGTTTCAAGTTCACCCAAAGGCACCACTGAAGAAAGACCTGGCCATCTTCTCCCTGAAGAACTCAGCCATGAAACCCCTGTGGTGCACTCTGACTCTGTAAACACATGGGGTCGCCAGGAGTCAGGAGTGACTTCATTGTAACTGTTAGTCTTTAAAACAACAACAACAAACAAACCCCCAAACCCCCAAGGATCCCATTTCCAAATCCTGTCTCACTGCACCTTCCTGCAGGAGATCTGTGAGTTCCCAAGTTCCCTCCATAGGAAACAGCCACCCGCTTTGGCAGGAGGAATGTGCACTGCACGTGTAGTTTCTAGAACACTCTGGCCACTAGTTTGGCTGCATCCTCTTGTGGTGATAATCTTCAGCAAAATGCCCTTAAAATGTATCTGTGTGTTGGGTTTGCTTCCAAATTACAGCATGTGCACAAGAAAAGGGCAAACATATGATTAGTGATTTCCTTATGGCAGAGAGTAGAATGGGATCGTTTGTAGCAAAGGCACAGGCTTTCTGAAAACCATGCTTTGAGTCAAAAGGAAGATAGAAAGTTGTTTTTAGAGTTAAGCCAAGTTCATGACCTTCTTCATGAGCAGAGCAGATGTGGAGAGGGAAAAGCGCAGTCTGCCTGCTCAGTTCCACGAAGTTGTTAACTGCTGAATTTTCTAGATTGCCAGGCCTTTTTTCTGAGGTGCCAGTAGGTGGATTTGAACTGTTAACCTTTGGGTTAGAAGTCAAGTACACTGACTATTCCACCCTGACAAGCACAGAAAAATGGATCTGGGGCAGCCACAGTGCCCACCTTTCTAGAAATGGCTGCTCCAGGGGCCGTACCATGAACAAAAGCGCACGCAATATGAGGGGTTTGTGCTCAGTAGCCCATGGAGATGCGGAAGAAAGTCAGGCTTGTTTTGATAGCTGTCCCCACGCCCCCAACTTGTACGTAAGTGTGATGTTGGATTTTCTGTGTTTGCTGCGATGGTTGCTGATGGGTTTGGTCAAAGGCCTGGTCTAGTTGTTGCGGTGATGCTTTGCTCATGTGGTCCGGATCTGGTCAGCTGATTACTCGCCATGTTGGATCAGCTGGAGGCTGAAATGGGTTTCCAGGAAGCGAGTTGTGTCTCAAGACTATCCCATGGAAATCCTGCCTGATCGTGAAGCCCCCTGCCCTGGGGGTATTACATTTGCCAACCCCAGCCGTCGTGTGAGCCAATTCCCTAAATGCAATAGATTTATCTCTGTTTATACACATACACACATAAAGGGGCTTCACAAAGGTCATGGAAAAATTCCATTATCTCCTGATTCCATTTTCCTATGACCTTTTTGAAGCCAGATAAAGTAAGGGGTCAGTGTACAAGAGGGCGACCTCCAACAATGAGATGGATGGGCATACTCTATACAGCAGTGGGCTCAAACGTGGTAACTGTCAGCGTGACACAGGACCGGACAGTGTTTTGTTCTGGTGTGCACAGTTGCACAGCAAAAGCACATACATACATACATACATACATAGACTCACACGAGGGGGCATCAAAAAATTTGTGGCAAAATTCAGTTGTAATTTTAATTCCATTTTTCCATGAACATGTTGACGTTTCTTTGTATATAGTTGTTGGTAAGTGCCATCAAGTCAGTTTCAAGTCACAGCGACCCTGTGAGGGTTTCTGAGGAGCAGCTGGTGGATTTGAACTGCTGTCCTTGCAGTTCAACCGACCTTTCAGTCCAGTGCTTATCCTACAGCGCCCCTTCAGGACTCCATAGTTGTTAGGTGGCATCGAGTTGGTTCCCAGCTGTAGTGACCCCACATACAACAGAACACAATACTGTCTGGTCCGGTGTCACCCTCACACTTGTTACCCTTGGAGTCCAATGTTACTGCAACTTTGTCTATCCATCTCATGGGGAGTCTTCCTCTTTTTCGATGACCCTTTACTTTGACAAGCATGACATCCATCCTTCTCCAGAGACTGGTCCTCTGGATAAAGCGTTTGTCCATCCTTGCTTCTCACACCACCTACATCTACCCATCACTGTACACAGCTGTATGCCTACGCATACCCACCTGTCGATTATCTATCACTGCTTCTGTTTCTTTGAAGAACCCTGAGTAATACGTGTGGTGTCTCATAAATCGGGAATGAAAGAACTCTCCGTCGGAGCTGAAGACGGGAATGGAGAATTCCCACGGGATGTCTGTCAGCAGTGCGGATTCCCAGACTATTGGGGGCAGGGCCAGAGTTTGCGTTTCCCCCTTCCATCTTCTGTAGGAGCTTCTGGGGGTGATGCCAGAGGACACTCACCTCAGACCAGCCCCCAAATCACAGCCCTCCTACCTGCAGCGTTTTGCAAAGGAGCCCCAACTTGGAAAGCCATGGGTGGACATCCACAAAGGACACATCTGCACGTGAAGACAGGCAGTTAGTCTGCGAGTTAGTGCTTCCTTGGGAGAGGACACTAAAGCTTTCTGACTTGCTGCTTGCTGCAAAAGGAGCTCAGGTGTGTGGGGAGATTCTAGATTAAGATGAGCTAGAAAGGTCTGGCAATGGTTTCCAAGAAAATCAGCCAATGAGAATCCTGTGGATCCCAAGAGTCTGAGTCCATTGTGAATGCGCTCGCCATGAGCCTGGGCAGCTAATGACAACCTCTGTAAGGAAAAACTTCAGCCCTCTCCACAATCTTCAGTGACGTGAGCTTGGGGTTGTCCCAGTAGCAACCTTCTCGGTTGCCCAAACTCCCCATCACCCCTTCCTTGTAAAACAGGACTTGAGCTGTTGGGATAGCGGGTCTGTCCGTCCACTTCACTTCTCCTTTCTTGTCACCCCATGTTCCCACCGTCACCTGGTGGTGGCTCCAAAATTAGAATTAAGGTCTTGTGTTACCTAAGAGAGAGGGGTCTGTGTGGAGACTCCCCCTGGGGACAACCAGTGTGATGACTTGTTTCCCTAATAAAATGCTAAATTTCAGCCCCTCTGACGTCGCATCCCCCACAATGATGAGAAGCTACCTTCTGAACCAACAGGCTCCATCCGCTGCCCACCACCCACTTGCTGATCCAGCCATCAGTAGTTCATGGGATCGGGGGCCAACCACTGCCAAAGATGAAGCTAGGCCCGAAGGAAAGAGCTTAATGAAATTTTATTTGGAAAATATGGCAAGAATCTAAGGCACTTCAAACATTTAAATACATATAGGATCCAAGTACAGGTGATAAGGTAGAAAAGACCCCATAAATACAGAGAGCTACATAAGTTCCCCTAGAGGCAAACACAGAACTAGTTCCTCAGAACTGTCATCGTGCGATGCAGGTTGGGTCGGACACGTATTTATAAAAAGACGGTCATGTGACACCTGCTGTGGTTTTTCGTGTCTTTAGCAACTAGAGAATATAAAAGTTGAAAATACGGTATCCACTTTCTGTAGGGACTTTTTATATAAAAAGTGGTTTCATAAATGCCCACCTGATTAAAACCAACTGCCCAGAGCTCCTTTTGGGAGTTTTATATATTTTGAGAGTTCCAGCTACAACTGTCAACCTGAAACCCACCCGCCGGGACCCAAGTTACAAAGGATCAAAGCCATCTCAATGTTGTTAGTTTACAATGTCAAGACAAAGGGAGCTTCCTCCTGGAATTGGGGTCTGGGGTGGGTTCTGCCAATGGCTCCTTTCATAGATGTAAGAGTGGGTGGGAACTGTACAAGCCCACACTGTTTGGGGATGGAGCAGATGCACCCTCTGGTTACAATTCCCTACAACTGTACATAACAAAGCTTAGACTCGGGTTCTGGGGTGTCCCATGTAGACGGGAACTGGCCAGAAGGGGTCAGGCGGTGGGCCGGCCACTCGGCCATCTCCTGTGGCCAATTCCACCGTGCAAGTTTTCTCCTTTGGCCGCTGCTGTCTGCGTTCCTTTTGTGGTGGGCTCAGGCCTGTGATGGCTACATTCAGAATCTGTCACTGCATCCAGGGGCACTTAGCTTACGGGTGGCAGGTCCATGGAGGGCTGTGTGCACGGAATTAATCAAAAGAACCTCGGTGGGTGGGACCCGGAGACGTCTTCCTGCTAAGCCTTGGGGTACTCTACAGACCAGGAAAAGAAAAAAAAAGGGGTGTTAATCAATGATCCACAGTCCCTGGGTGGTGCCAATGGTGAACGGGTTCAGCTGATAACTGGATGGAGGCTTAAGTCTATTCTGAGGTACCTCAGAAGAAAGGCCTGGCAACCTACTTATAAAACTATCAGACCCTTGAAAACCCAGTAAGCCACTGAGACTGGATAAACCCCACAAACTATAGTCCTGAGGTAATATTTAAACCTTAAACTAAAACATATCCCCTGACGTCTTTAGAACCACTGAGAGGGAGCCCTAGTGAGAGATAACTGGAAACTTAGACAGGGACTGGGGGCGGCGGCCCATTTCTGTTCGCGGGGAGGAGTGATTTGGAAAAGGAGGGCGAGAATGGTTCCATTGACAAATGGAACCCACGGAGAAAGAATCCACTGAACTGCATGTTCTCACACCAAAGAGAAACAAGATGGGGCTTTGTGAGAGTTTTCCAATGGTTAAAAAATATTAAAAACCTGCTAACAGCAAAAAATGACATTATTTATCATTGTCAGGACACTACCACCCTCCACATGGAACACAGACTTCACCCAAAATGACTTAGTAGTAGGTGTGGGAGGGGCCTAGTGGGTACAGGGTGCTTAACTGAAAGGTCAGTAGTTCAAACCCGGCAGCCGCTCTGCAGGAGAAAGATAGCATAAGGAGGAAAGCTCGGAAGCCCTCTGGGGTGGCCTGTCCTACAGGGTCACTGCAGTCAGAGTGGATTGAGTGGACACCCTCTGGGATCACTACAGTCAGAATGCATTTGATAGCAGTGGGTTTGGGTCTGGCGTTTTATCAGGTGCAGTACATTCTGATAACGTTGGTTCTCCTAGTTTTTAAAGCGTGCTAAACCCACTAAACTGATTTTGATACCAAAAAAAAAAAAAAGAAAAGCAAAGACTGAAAACCCCATACAGCCGCTCTACTCAACACACATGGGCTTGCCATGAGTGGGCATCGACTCCTTCAGTAACTGTCCAGTCACATGACCTCAGGCAGATGTGTCCCATGTGACTCAAGGCTCTGTATGAGCCAAAGGCTGGAGGGGGGCACACACTAAGAACGGGGACTACGGGCTGGCAGTGGTGCCCACCGTAACTGGGCCCCCCCCCCCACTTCCCAGTGTGAGTGAGTTTCAGGAGTGAGCAAAAGACGACAGAGTTTTTAGGAAACAATGCTGAAGACGTGGGTGGTAGCTGTTCTCTGGCCTCTTTGTTGAAGTAACATTTACATACAACCACCTAAGACAGATGTTTCAAAGAAAACACCTGCCTCTCCTCAAAGGCCTGGGTTTGAATTCAGCCCCAGTGCCAAGTCACCTGGTTTACAGCTTGCCTGACCTGCTGACTCATTTCAGAGACCCTTACGTACTTTACTATAGAGTTCAGATGGGAATTGACCGAGCACAATCATTTCCCATCAACAATCGATGCACATTTTCTTCCATGACATGGGGTACAGTCCCCTCCATGTAACCTCCCGGGGTTCCCTGTTCCCATTCATCCTTCTTCCCTGCCACTGTGTTTATTTGAATTGTGGAAGCTATGTAACAGCAAGAGTGGGAACCAGGAGCACTCTGGTGGCGCAGAGAGTTTAGTGCTCAGCTGCTAACTGATACTTTCAGGGTCTGAGTGTATCCAGACACCGCCCAGGACCATGGCATGTGGATGTATGGACTCAGGGTGCCCATCGGGATACCTCTGCAGGGAAGAAAAATCTCCCAGTGAGGGATGGACCTTTGTCTGCCAAGGACAGCAGCCTTGCCTTTGTTCGGAGGGGCATTACCTCTTAAGTTCCAGGCCACAAACACTACTTCCAGACCGTCCCAAAGCCCGTGGCTCCTGTCAGCTCCCCACCCGCCTGCTGAACCTCAGCCCAGTTACAAAGCTCAAACTCACACCACTGACCGGAGACTGGGCTTTTGCGAAGTTGACGTGGGCATAGAGGAGCACCGCGATGTCTTTGTGTCCTGCCTCCAGGGCTATGGAGAGCGCCGTGCTGCCGTCCTGCGGGGTAAGAGGGGAGCAGGACAAGCCCTGTGGGTTTCTTCCCCACGGCCACAGCCACGAGGGGAAACAACAAAGCTTGCTCCAGCAGTATCAGGTGACAAGGGCCTGTCAGTCCCTGGAAACCTTGGGACCCTCCACATGCAAAGGGGTTCCTGGGTGGTGTAGGTGATTATTAGGCTCGGCAGCTAGGTGGGGCCCCGGGTGGTATATGTAGCTAATGGACCTGGAGGCATCATCCACCCTGAAGTGCCTTGGAAGAAGGGCCTGGTAAGCTATTTCTGGAAACGCTGCCACTGAAAACCCTATAGGGTCCACGTGGCTGCAACAGGTTTTAATGGCTGAGCTCACACATAGCACGTGTCAACTGTATTCTACTTTATTCTCAGGTAATTATTCCAAGGCAGAAGTTATTCCAACGTGTGAGCCTGCACACTATAGGGCCAAGATGTGAGTGTGGAAATCTCAACAGCACCCTGGGCGCGAGGGCCCTCCCTGCGCCCCGTGACGTCTCACGTTGTCCTCCAGGTGACCGTTGCAGCCTGGCTGGGCCAGCAGCAGCTTCACAATCTCCACGTGCCCGTGTTCGCTGGCGCACATCAGGGCAGTGGAGCCCTCGTCGTCCTGAGTGTTGACATCCGCCCCGCAGGCCAGCAGGCCCTTAACCATGTCGATGCGGCCGTGACTGACAGCTAGCATGAGGGCGGTCTGTCCTGCCTGTAGGGAGAGAGGACAGCGACATCAGAAGACACATACTGGGGGGTGCCGGGAGAGGTGGGACGTGGAATTCCTGGAGCAAGGCCCCTGGGGTGCACACGTGATTTCAGCTCGAGGACTAGCTTACAGGTTGGTAGTTCAAACCCACACAAAGGAGCTTCAGAAGGAAGGCCCGGCAGGATGCTTTGATAAAGAGAGCGCTGCTGTTGTTAGGGGCTGTTGGGTCGATTCGGACTCACAGTGACCCCCACAGGACCGAGTAGGACTGCCCCGTAGGCTTTCCAAGGCTGTCATCTTTATGGAAGCTGAGGGCCACAGCTTTGTCCTGCGGAGTGGAGTGGCTGGTGGATTTGAACTGCCAACCTATTCATTAGCAGCTGAGCACTTAGCCACTGTGCTACCAATGTTCCTTTCTAGAAAAAAATGACAGCCACGTAGACCCCAGGGAGTACGTCTGCTCTGTGACACACGGGGTCACCATGAGAAGGAATATCAGCGTGATGGTTAACAGGTTTGCATCTGGGCTTTTGGTTATGAGCAATGAGACCCTTAAAGTAATGAGGTGGTTAGTTCACCTTAGCTTGGAGGGGCCTATTCTAGAGAGGTGCTGGAAGGTCCAGATGTTCAGAGTTCATTCTGTGAACCTATTTGGACCTGGGACATACTGTCCTGGTACCGAGATATTCAAGGAGCAACAGACATGGGGGTGTAATGGGGTTCCATTGATTCACACAGCTTTCTACAGATCCTCGGCACTGAGGGGAATAAGGCTCTGCTTCAAACGTACCACAGCGGGTGGTGTGTGTGTGTGTGTGTCTATGTGTTTGATGGCAGGCAGCCTCGCAGACTTTGGGACAGTGGGTGGTGGGAGGAAAGGGAGGCATCTGGCTGCTTGGTGGTGATGGTTGCCCAACATAGTGAGCATTATCAACATCACTGAACTGCATGTAAAATGACTGAGTCGGCATTTTCCTGTGTCTCTTTCTACCACCATTCTGATTGATCGGGAAAATGATCCAAAAAAATGATCTGTTTTTACCACCAGGGAAAAACAAACACAAGAGGAAACCAGGCCCATCTCCCACCCGCCGCTGACCTGGCTGGCTTTGGCATTCACGTCCCCACTGCTGAAGAGCTCTTCTACGACGCTCATGTCCTTCTTGGCCTCCACGGCGGCCAGGGCAGCCAGCATGATAGGTGTGTATCCTGCCTTGTTCTGATGGTTCACGTTACACACATCTGCAAAGAAAGACAGCCAGACACCACTGAACTCTGGACCCATCATCAGGAGAAGGACGTCATGTTTGCTAAAGCAGAGGCTCCGCAAACAAGAGGAAGACCCTCGCAGAGATGGACGGACACTGGCTGCAAAGACTGTGAGGAGGGCCCGGGACCAGCAGGTGTTTCCTTCTCTTGGGCCATCGCCAGGTCGCTATGAGTCGGAACCGACTTGACGTGTGCTGTCTGGAAGAGCCTGGTGCAGTGGTGTCAAACACAGCATGATTTAGTTGGAAGGGTGAGAGATGATGTTTTGACACCAAAGAGGAAAAATACTAAAGGAAAATATCCCCCCACATTTCATCAAACTTAAAGCAAGAGAAATTTGGGGTGATGAGAAAGTGTGGGGGCTAGTGATGGGCACACAACAGTGTTGAATGAGGTAAACCAATGAATTGTACACTTGGGGGGTGGGCGGTATGCGGTTCCGACTCATAGAGACCCTACATAGGGTTTTTGAAGCTGTAAATCTTTACGGGAGCAGAAAACCTCATCTTTCGCCTGCAGAACAGCTGATAGTTTTCCAACTGCTGACCCTGAGGTTAGCAGCCCGACTGGTAACCACTTCACTACCACAGCGCTTAGAAAGGCTTGTTGTTGTTAAATGCTTTTGAGTCGGTTCCGACTCATAGAGACCCTGTATAGGGTTTCTGAGGAGTGGCTGGTAAGCTTGAACTGCTGACCTTGTGGTTCAAATGAATTTGCAAGTCCAGCGCATTAATTCACAGTGCCACACCAGGACTCCAGAAAGGGTTAGAATGGTGGATTTTATGTCACATAACATTTTATCATAAGAACTCCTGGTAACATGGTGGTTACACTTACGGGCAGCTAACCACAAGGTCGGTGGTTTGAATCCACCACATGGCTGTAGTAGAAAGATGAGGCCATCTGTGCCCATATAGATGACGGCCCTGGAAACTCTCTGCGGCAGCTCTACTCTGTCCCACAGAGTTGCTGTAGGTCAGTGGGTCAGGGTCTACAGTGGGGTGGGCTGGGTCTGGGGTGTGCACCTCAGGGCTGCCTCAGGGTCAGAGTCAAATTCTTCAGTCGGGATATACCTGGCTCGAGGCAACAGAACTTTAATAAGATGGACTCCCACCGGGGACTTAGACTGGGTTGGTGAGGCAGCTGGTGAAGCCGTATTTGGAAGGATCTTCATGTGCTACAGAGCTCGGGGTGGGGAGACCAGAGAGCTCCAGGGCCATTTTCAGGTTTCTGAACATCAGCACCCAGAATCTTTTGCTCCTTTGGTGTCTTGTACAGCTCAGTCCCTGCCTCAAACAGGGTCTCCAACTCAAAGGGCAGCTGCTCACACCATAGAGGGGACTGGGTGGGACTGAGAAAACATCTCCACGCTGTATGGTAGAACTTGACTCCTGCTCAGCTCAGCGTGCTGTCCTGGGAAGTCGGTTCCGACCCACAGCGACCCTGAATAGGGTTTCCTACATTGTCAGTCTTTACGGGAGCAGACAGCTTCATCCTTCTCCCCTGGGGTAGCTGGTGGGTAGCTGGTGGGTTTAAACTGCCGACTTGGTGGCTAACTGCCCAGTGCCTACCCCACATGCCAGCAGAAGCCGGAAAGCTGGGTTTGGGTGAGAGTCTCTCAGTGTGTTGCTACCTCCTCACCACACACAGGACTTCGAGGGGCCACATACCAGCATCCAGCAGTAGCTTGACAATCTCGAAGTTGGAATGGGACACGCTGTAGTGCAAAGCCGTGTTGCCGTTGCCATCTGCCATGTTGATGATGTGGCGGAGCACGGCCGGGGACACGGCTTCGAAGGCGGCGATGTAGTCTCCCACCATGGCCGGGACAGCCGACTTCTGACTGGACACTCGGAACCACTCGTGCTGCAGGGTGTTGAGACAGAACCGCTGCAAGGAGAACACAGTGGTGTCAGCTCATTGGAGACCAGGTCTGCAGTTCCAAATACTTCTCCCCAACAAGGGGCCACCCCCGGGGCCTGACATGCACATTCTGTTGTGGGGTGCTGTCGAGTCAACCCAACCCTGTAGGGCCGAGTACAACTGCTCTGTAGGGCTTCTGAGGCCGCAGCGATGGGCTTAAAGCTAGCAGTGTTGTGAAAACGGGGCAGGAATGGGCCGTTTCCTTCTGTTGTATGTGGGGTGGCTATGGGTCAGAACCAACTCAACAGCACCTAACTAGAACAGTCTTTACAGGTGCAGGTTGTCAAGGCCTCTCCTCCAATGATGCACCGATCTTTCAGTGAGCAGCGTAACCACTGTCCACCAGGCCTCCCTTCTGTTAGCATAAAAGTAAAACCAAGCTCCTGGCCGTCAAGTCGATTCTGACTCACGGTGCCCCTGTGTGACAGAGAACTGTCCCATGGGGTTTCCTAGGCTGTTATCTGTGGTGTCACTATATACTCGTATATACTCATATATCATCCACTCACAGCGCCCCCTGGTGTAACAGAGGAGAACTGCCCCACAGGGTTTCCCAGGCTGTCATCTATTGTGTCACTATATACTCGTTGTTGTTGTTGTTGTGTGCCGTGGAGTCGGTTCCGACTCATAGCGACCCTGTGTCACTATATACTCTTATATACTCATATATCATCCACTCACAGAACCCCCATGTGACAGAGGCTGGTGGGTTTGAAACACTGTCTCACTTAGCATCTGAGTGTATACCCACGGTACCTCCAGGTCTCCTAGCTGCGAGCCCACGAGGATGGGACCACAGTAACCATTTACTGCGGGGACAACTCCGACTCATGCTGTCTGAGTAGAACTTTGCTCCAGAGGACTCTAAGTGGCTGATTTTTCAGAAGTCAACTGCCAGCACTTTCCTCTAAAGGAACAGTGGGTGGACTTGAACTGCCAGCCTTTGTTAGGAGCACCATCAGGGATGACACATGTACAGTCTAACTGCTCAATGAGACCACAGAGTGCGGAGCAAGGGTGAGAGTCCTGGAGTGAGGACACATAGGTTCAAATCCGGCCTCTGCTACTTAGCAACTGCACGGCCCCAGGAAGTGGCTTACTCTGTGTGTCTCAATCTCCCTCGTCTGTAAAATGGGGATAAGAAAACATCTTCCCTGCACAGTATTCCTGGTGAGGATAAAGTCAGCAACCCGTGAGACACTTGATCTTGGCTCGATCTGCGTAGGGGACAGTGGTGGCTCCGTGGGAAAGTTCTTGCTTTTCATGCAAAAGACCTGGGTTCAATTCCCGGCCAATGCACCTCACGTGTAGCTACCACCTGTCTGTCAGTGTGGGTGGGGGTGGGGGCTCTGCATCCGTCAGTGCTAGATTTCTTGTTGCTATGATGCTGAATAGGTTTCCGCAGCTTCGGGGCTGAGAGACTAGGAAGGAAGGTCTGGCAATCCACTTCTGAAATCAGCTAGTGTAAACTGTGTGGATCACAAAGGCTTGACAGACAACAATTCATGGGGATAGCGTGGCACCGGGCAGCGATTCATTGTGTCGTGCATGGGGTCACCCTGAGTGGGGGGCCCAGTCTGTGGCAGCAGACAACAACAGTAGATGCTTATGGTAGCTAACCTCGTAAGGATAATACCCGGGACAGAAGGTATTCATTAATCCGCACTTAATTACACTACTTCCTTCCTATCTCGACCCACCTCAATTCAACTCTTCTACAGCACTGGGCTGTGAGACCGGGAGCTTGGAGTCAAGTCCACTCCCGCCCGAATCCCAAAGAGAAATAATCCGGCTTTGTAGAGAGAATGGAAAACAAATCTGGAAGAAACTAGGGCTATGGCTGCATGGATGCGGAGGGGCTGAGGCCCCACATGCAAGATGCTCCCCTTGGACTGGGCTTAGGGCTGGAGGGTAGGGGTGGCCAGTCACGCCTTCTCAGAACCTTCTTTGGCCCGCTCCAGCTTTACTGCTCATTGGTGCTTTGCATTTTTGTTTTTAAAATGAAGGATCTCTTCCACACCTCTGTGATGTTCATGCCGCCTCAGATAACAGCATTAGTTTGCTATTTGGAAGGTACATTTGAGGGGAGTACTGTAAATTAAATCACGAGTCATATACTGAGATTCTGCTTCAAAGAAGTGGAAAAAAGTTTGAATCAGAACTCTTCCTTGCCAATCTATATGGTTCCTTAGAAGGACTGAGCTAACCTTTGGAACAGGCGTGAAGTAAATGTATTACACACTTTAAAATGGAGAGGCAGGAGCAATGATCCAAATGGCTTTAAGAATTGGTTTCAAAGGCAAACATTTTTCTTTTATCCTCAAATAACACCTAATTAGTGATTTTAAGTTTTACAAGTAAATCGTATGCTCTAGTATTAAAATTCTGTATCCTTGCATTTTTCTGAATAAAAGCTATTTTAGTTCACAAAAAATAAAAAAGATCAATGTTATAGTATGTGAATTACATCTTAACGAAAACAAACCTTTCATCTTTCTATTGAAAACGTGGGGGTCTACATTGCTGTGCCTCATCTATCTTCCCGCTCCCGTGCCCCACTCAGTGGGAAAGGTCCTGGAGTCAGGGAGGAAGTCATCCAGCTTCTTCACATATTCAACTCCGCTCCCAATTCCAAACCTCCCTCCCTCCCTCTGGAGTTGAGACACAGAGGGAGGGACAGTGATGTGCCCGGTATTACAGCTGCTGCTTTGTGGTCAGCTGCCCTTGAGTGGACTCTGAGCCCTGGGGACCTCAAGTGTGTAGGGTGGAACAGTGATCTTTTGGAAGCAGGCAGGCAGGACTTTCTTACAAGTCACCTCTGGGTGGGTTTGAACCATCAACCTTTTGGATAGCATTTAAGCACTTAACCAACTCTGCTACTTCTAAATAACTAGCATCCTGACACAGTTATATTGTGCTCATGCATGTTGATTACACACACACACACACGGCAAATCTGCCTCGCAAGACCTCTTTACAGTTGAACAGCAAAGATGTCAGTTTGAGGACTAAGGTGTGCCTGACCCAAGCCATAGCATTTTCAATAGCTGCATGTGCATGTGAAAGTTGAGTGGTGAATAAGGAAGACTGAAGAAGAATTGATGCCTTTGAGTTGTGGTGTTGGAGGAGAGTACCATAGGCTGCCAGGAGAATACACCAATCTGTGTTGGCAGAGTTAGAGCCAGTGTTCCTTGGAAGCCAGGATGGCCAGACTTGGTCTCTTATATTTCGGACATATTGTCAGGAGGGACCAGTCACTGGAGAAGGATATCATGTTTGGTAAGGTGGAGGGTCAGAGAAAAAGAGGAAGACCTTCAATGAGATGGATTGGCCAAGTGGCAGCATCAGTGGACTCAAGTGTAGCTACAATTGTGAGGTTGGCGCAGGACTGGGCAGTGTTTCGTTCTGTTGTGCACAAGATTGCTATGAGTTGGTGCTGACTTGATGGCACCTAATATCAATAACAATGACTATATGTGTATATGTTGTTGTTAAGTGCCATCGAGTTGGTTCCAACACATGACAACCCTGTATATAGTGTTTCCAAGGAGTAGCTGGTAGGCTTGAACCACTGACCTTGCAGTTCAAACTGACTCTGCAGTCCAGTGCATTTACCCACAGTGCCACACCAGGACTCTGTGTGTGTGTGTGTATATACATATATATATGTATATATATACATATTTTTAATTAAGATTTTATTATGTTTTAGATAAAAGTTTACATAACAAATTTGGCCTCCCCACTAATATTTTTTTACTCTTGATGGCACAGAGAGTTAAGTGCTGGGCTGCTAACCGAAAGTTTCGGTGGTTAGAAACCACCAGCCACTTCTTGGAGAAGGATGAGGCAGTCTAAGTCCGTAAGGGTTTAAGGCCTGGGAACCCTGTGGAGCAGTTCTGCTCTTGCTAATGGTCTATTTCTAGGTTTTTAAAATGTGTTACAAGATTGTTTTTCATAATATTCTGTTTTGATCTTTTTTGTCAGTTCTGACTCATAGCAACCTTGTATAGGGTTTCCGAGGAGCAGCTGGTGGGTTTGAACTGCTGACCTTGTAGGTTAGCAGTTCTGTGCTTATTCTATAACTTTACAGAGTCCTGGGGTGGGGCCATTTCTTGGCTAGTCACCAAAAGGATGGTGGCTCGAATCTACCCTGAAGGACTTAAGGAAGAGGGACCTGGCCATCCATGGCCCCTAGAATCCTGTGGGATGTAATTCCACTCTGACACACGTGGGGTCGTTGTGACTCTTAGTTGGCTCAGTAGCAAGTGATTTAATTGGGGCAAACAAGAACATGGTCCAGTTGTCAAGACATACACTAGTAGCTACCACTCTAGCCAAGACATAGAATCTTTAGGGCCGTAGATGATACAGGTTGGCCCCTAGAACACACAGCCACGAATGTCTGTCCACATCAGTGACCACCCCGCTGAGCAGCGCACGGCAGCTACCATCTTCAGACTGGGCTTGACATACAGTTGTTGTTGTTAAGTGCCTTTGAGTCAGTTCCGACTCACAGCGACCTTGTACAAGGTTTCTGTGGAGCAACTGGTGAGTTTGAACCGCTGGCCTGTGGTTCTCAGTCCAGTGCTTGTCGTATAGCACCACACCAGGAGTCCTGACATATACCATGGTTAGAAAACTCCTAAGCCCCTGCTAGTCCTATACCCTCCTTGGTTTCAGAACCTCAAAGTAGACAGACTTCTCCCCCACTGCCTGCTAACAGGCAAAGACCTGAACACATGTTTCTGACCTAAATTCCTCCGAGGAGCTATATCTTCTCAGTGCACTGGAGACACTGGTGTCTGCTGAGAGAGAAGCCACAAACCCACATTTACCCAGCGGTGTTGGACCAGTCCATCACAGAAATATGTATCTGCCCCTCCCCCTCTGCTGTCGGCCTGTGAAGCTCACACACACGGGGAAGAGACAAGTGTGGTTGTTTTCATGTTTAAAAATAGCGGCCGCCGCATTCCACCCTGGCACATTAATAGGCAGTTCCGTCCCCAGCAGGAATGCAGACATGGCTCAGATAGGTTTCTCTGAAAAATAACCTAACTTAAAAAAAAAAAAGAGGTACTGAGTCTGCTGCCTGGAACACAAGGTTTCTATCTACCAGCAGGGGCGGACCATGTCGAAAGAAGAGAACAAACTCCCCGCTTCCCACCCAAAAAGGGAACCCTGGCTGCTCAGGGTGTAAGCACACGGCTTCTAATCAAAGGTTGGGGGATTGAACCCATCAGCTGCCTCCTGGCAGAAGGATGTGGCAGCCTGGTTTTGTAAAGATGACAGTGACCCTTAGTCACTGTGAGTCAGAATCGACTCTCCCACGTGCAGTCAAGTCCCTGCCTCACAGATGCCTCCAGTCCCAATTCAGGGCTGAACGGCTCTCCCAGGTGGGGCTGCGGGAAGTGACCACGTGAGCCTGCAGCACAGCCTGGGGCAGCCGCAGATGATCTAGAGGGCAGTGCTAACTGGGGGCTTTGTACACACTACGGTCAGTGTCCACCCGGTCCTACTCACCATATCTTTGCTGGTCAAAGCTCTGGGATCATTTATGTTATTTTTCAGTAAGTTGCATGCAGATAGCATCTTTTCACTTAATTCGTACCTATTGCAGGGAAAGAAGAGAGAATTAATGACTGGCCACCAAAGAAACGTGGATTCTATACCCATCTCCGTGATACTCGAGAAGACAGGCCAACTGAGGCAGACCCTGTAGGGGGAGGTGCTTGGATGAGGGTGGTCTCGGCATTCAAGGACTGACACCTCCGTTAATAACTGCCAGGCACAGCAGCCAGCTCAGGGCCTTGGCTTGAGGTGGCCTTTGTGGGGATACGACATCACAGTTGTGGATATGTGGCTTGGCGCTGTGGGATAAAGTGCTAGACCACAAGGTCGGCTGGAACTGCAAGGTCAGCAGTTCACACTCACCAGCTGCTCCTCAGAAACCCTATGTAGGGTTGCTATGAGTGGGAACCGACTTAACGGCACTTAACAACATCTTTTTACTCTAGCGCTTGACGAAATCTGGATTCCTATAGATAGATCCACCAGGCTGACCAGCAAACTATACACCTGGAACCAAATTCTGTGTCATAAGAAGTGTGTTTAATCCATGTGAACAAAAATAAACTTAAGATCAGCTGGCAGAGGGCAGGTAAATGGTTTCCCCATAAGACGGTTAAACACTCAGATGACGAAATGTCAAGCCGTTTGACTAGACTATAAATATAAACAAAGACCACTTACCTTGCGTTACTGTGGTTAGCCTTTCATTGGCCAAGACAAACAGAAGTCAGCTTTCTGAACAGTTTTCTTTATACTTCTCATAGTGAAAAAGAGTCTTGCTGTGGCACTACTGGTTAAGCACTGGACTTCCAATCACAAGGTTGGTGGCTCAAACCCATACAATCCGGTACAGGGTTGCTATGAGTCAGAAATGACTCGATGGCACTTAGCAATGACTAAGTGAAAAATCACACTGAGCTTTCCATCTGCTCTGTTCCATCCACTGCACATGCCTATCACATGACTTTAAAGGAGGACACCTGCAAGCCCAGGTGTCAGCCAACCAGGGTGTCTGCGCTGCATTTTTCTTACAGCTGGGGTTTACGGTCACCCCCAACCCATCCCTTAGTGAGCACAGGACACAGTCACGTGACTGACACACATCATCTTAGGTGGTCAACGTGACCCTCAGGCAAGGCCCAGAGAATTGTCGCCCCCACTTCCCAACACAGTGACTCTGTAATAACGGACCACCACCAGCATCAAGATCAAATAAAATTTGAAACTTTATACAAAAAGTGTGCTGGCCCCCAGCCAGCCCTCACATGTCTCTCAATACATGGTGGGGGAGTCAGACTTACTAGTCCTGTCTGGAGGTTCTGGGATGCATGGGCAGTGTTAGATGTTAGAAGACTAAAAGTTGCCTTTGAACCCATGCAGAAAGGGCTGGCAATCTACTTCTAAGAGTTTACCGCCCTGAAAGGCCAGAGGAGCACTGATGCACTCTGCAAACCATGGGGGCCCCATGAGTCGGAAAGACACTCATGGCAAGTTTGAGAAAACAAAGGGGCCGGTTCTTAAACGAACTCTAGGATCTCTAAGACCCTGAGCGATCACACTCTGCAGTGACATTTACTAAGAGCATGAAAATCTACAAAAACCTCTGCGGACTGGACACAATCCCTCGCTGCCTTGGAGTAGATACGTAGATATAGTACAACTGCCTCATAGGGTTTCCGAGGCTGTCAATCATGACCAGAGCACACAGGCTCATCTTTCTTTCGAAGAGCGGCTGGTAGGTTTGAATCATTCACAGACCTTGCGGGTTAGCAGCCCAACAATGAACACGCTGAAGTTTAGCTTTCTTTTAAAGACAGCAAACGAAGACGTTATTAAATATTCTGCTAGCTAACGAAGACGTCATTGAATATTCTGCTAGCTAACGAAGACGTCACTGAATATTCTGCTAGCTAGCTCGTTCTGCTGCTAACCGGCACTGGATACGGGGTGGGGCAGGGGCGGGGCGTAGCGGGACGGGGGCGGGGCGTACCACACCTCTCTCTGATTTCCGCCTTAGAGAGTTCACATTCCGGAACCTGCATCTCGGCTTCCACCCTGGTGGAGGTGAGACCTTGAACATCTGCCACTGCCTGTGTCTCTCCGTCCTGCCCCTCCTCTTCTCCAGGAGGGTACTCAATGATATCAGCTTCGTCATCGGACTCGGAGGAAGAGCTCTCATCTGAGCTGGAATCGTCACTGGATGTGGTCTCATACCTAGGTGGCAATCAAGATTTCAGGAGATGCGAGGTGTGCCCATAAAGACCCAGTGACACTCAAGAAGTGTCCCCAGAGATGCTGCCCTGAGAACTACAATGTGGGGTCCACTTAGATATTTAGTGGTTCGGAATGATGGTCCCCAAGGATAAGCACTGAAAGGCTCAAAGTCTGAGCCCAGGTGATCAGCCACTGAAAACACCACGGAGCCTAGTTCCACTCTGACAGTGAGTGGGAATCAGCTCAGCAACTGAAGTGGTAGTGATGGTTGGGGATGGGGTCAGGCTTAAAAGTCACTGAGGCTTTCTGCTCCTATACAGATCTACAGCCTTGGAAACCCTACACTATGAGTGGGAACTGACTCCACGGCACACCACCACCACATGCATGTGAAAGTTGGGCAGTGAACAGGGAAGACCATAGAAGAATTGATGCATATGTAACTCATGATTCTGGAGAAGAATACTGAAAGTATCCTGAACTGCCAGAAGAACCAACCGATCTGTTTGGAAAGAAGTGGTCAGAATGTGCCTTAGAATTTAGAAGCAAGGCTGGTAAGAGTTTGTCTCTTTATGGACATGTTGTCGGGAGGAACAGGTCCCTGAAGAAGGACATCACCCACGGAAGAGTGGAGGGCCAGTGAGAAAGAGGGAGACCCCCAACGAGATGGACTGACTCAGTAGCCACAATAGTGGGATTGCACAACAATTGGGAGGCTGGTGCAGGACGGGGCAGGGTTTTGTTCCATTGTACACAGGGTCCACAGCACCTAACGAGAACAGGCGTGCAGCTGGCATCATGCCAACTGTCACGAAATGATGGTACTCCTGGCTTAGTATAAAACAAGAGGAATCTTAAAGGAAACCAGGTCTGCCGTTGTTGAGTTTTATTTCTTTTTAATAGCCAACTTTCCTGATCTGCCTCATTAATTCTCCCAGTGTCTTGGTGAACAGATCATACGAGAAGCAGTGTTTCCTACGGTGTGTATCCTTCAGGACCTCCTGGGCCACCTCTCCTGATAAAATGGTTCAGGTCTGAGAAACAGTCCCATCCGGCTACGTCTTCCTGGCAGACCTGTCTGTGAACAGCAGTTCCACTCATTGTAAACACCGCTGATTTCTCAATTCATTATTTTGATTGAGTTGCAGGATGACAGATAAGCTTAACTGTTTGCCTGAACCAATCAGGAGAGAAGACATAAACGTCTATGTAATATACAACCAGATAGCACACAAGTGTTGGCATGGCCTCGCTGTCTTCAGAGGAAAGGCACTACCAGTGTGTCTGGGAATGGGGGCAGCTCAGCATAACCACCTGTGTGGCAGGAGCCGGGTGATGGCCATGGTGTCTGTCTGTGTGTTCTCAATGCTGAAGTGTAACTACCACTGTCCAGCGGTACACAGTGTGTTGCCCAGGCTGGACTGACTAAGCCGATTTTCAGTTCGGTGGTGAGGAGAGATGTAACTGGCTCAGCAGAATCAGATGTCCTTACAGGACAGAGAGGCGAGCAGCCCACTGTGCCTTTCTGAAAAGGAACTGTGGCAGCTGGCATCCCAGGTTAGGGACCTTCAACTTGGACTTAAACCACAGGAGGCAGGCAGACCCTGGCTCTCAATTCTAGGCCTGTGGTGAATGCATTTTCTAATGTTTCTTCTAGCCATCGTGTTCGAGTCTCATCAAACCACGTTTTTGCCCCTGCTGGGGGTCTGGGGAAGAGAAGGTGGGAGAAGACACTGCTGGGGGGATGTGATGAAGTTGTGATTGAAAACAGAGCTAACTGTGGTTGTAAAAATTGGGAATACTAATGTAGATTCAAAATGAGCCATCTCGAAAGCAGGAAAGGTGATCTCTCACTATCTTCAAGAAGCAGAGCCAGGAGTGGAATGCATCCTTTGAACCCCAATATCCCTGCGCATTGAGCCTCCTCGTCCCTGGGACTGGAAGCTGTGACCCTGGAGGAGGGGCAGAGGAGCAGCAGAGAACCAGGAACCAGAGCACGAGACGGAGCCGTGGACCTCCCAGCCCCCGGAGCAAGTAAAGCTGAGTAACTTTGGGCAGGAGGCTTGCTTGTAGAGTGGGGTGCGTCCAGGCACTTAATGAGGGGGCTAGGTAGTTGACCCACAGAGCTAGAGCCGAGAACCTTCAGGCTGAGGTTATGGCGGAGTGGTGCGTCCTGTGGACATTGATCAGCAGTCCTGAGAGAGCTCTGTAACATTGTCCACACAGAAAGGACTGCCTGTGGACATGGCAGACGAAAGGCAGTTCTGACAGGGACAACTGGACCCTGAGTATTTCTGATTCCAAATTGTAACCTGGTAAGTTCTGTAATGAACCCCATAACTGTAGTACGGCGCCTGAGTTCTGTAACTAAATGACTGAACCCAGCTGAATAGGTGGGGGGGTGGGGTATGTGTGGGCGGGGGTGGGTGGGGACAGTTTTGGCAGGGACCATTTCTCTTACCCTCCGTTTATGCCAACAAACTGGAGGTTCTTTTTTGTGCCATTTGCGTCTTTATTCCTGTCCTTCTTCATGATGGACTTCAGCGTGCTCTCATTGTTGGGGTGGGCTGTGAAAACGTGAACCAAGAGATCAGCAGACCCAGATACAGCCCTGGTGGTGCAGTGGTCAGTCACTTGATGGTGAAACCCACCTGGTGTTGGCACGAGAGAAAGACCTGGAAACTTGCTTCTGTACAGTTGACAACCTATAGCATCCTACGGAGCCGTTCCCCTCTGTCCCCAGGGGCCACGGCCACCTTGAGTCAGAATTGACTGGATGGTACACAGTAACAGCCACACAACCATACAAGTTAAATGAATAGATTGTCTTTCTTCATGAATATTTTTTTTTCTCATTCATGGAAGTATAGCTCGTGGCATATACATTTGTGGAGAAAATTGTATAAAATCCTTTGGAAAATGGTGTGGGTGCCAAGAAAAAGAGTTCCAAGTTCCATTAATAATGTTCCTGAAATGGAGTAAGAGCCACCTGTACTTTCAAACATAACAAAAGCAGTGCTTATTAGCACCCATAGCCGGCTCTACTGGTGATGTGGTGTCTCACAAATACCATGTAGACACGAACATGTTGGTGCTGTTGCTAAAAGCTGGTGAGCTGGTTCTGACTCACAGCGACCAGACACAGGGTTTCTGAGGAGTGGCTGGTGAGTTAGAACTGTTGACCTTGTGGTTAGCAGTCCAGTGCTTACCCACAGCGCCACACCGGGACTCTGACTGAATAAAGGGATGGTTCTTCTTCTTTTTTTTCCAGCTAAGATGACCTGAAACCCAGACCTGGTCAAATCTATTCCTGGGAGAGGCCATTACAGCTGTGAGTGCTGCCCAATGAGCAAGATTCCAGTCATTTCTTAGGGGGACTCCACTCCTTATTCCTTTGTGGTTAGCAGCCATCGAGCCAGCCCTGGACACAGGACGACCCCAGGTGCCGTCCCCAGGTTGTGGATTGGAGTAGATTGCCACACCTTTTTTCCTAGTCTGTCTCAGTCGGGAAGGTCTGCTGAAACTATCTCAGCAGCACATAAGTCTCCACTGGCTGGGAATGGAACCTGACTCTCCTGATGGACGGAGGGCATTGTACCAATGAGCCACCACTAAGGTCTGTATTGACTCTTTAGTAATCCCTTAGAGATACTCTAGACCTACTTTCCCAACAACTAAGAAAGCTTTCTTCCCAATCGACTTTACATAGGAAAGCTAGCCAAGCTGGCAGATCCTTGTCCTGAGCTGAGAAACATTACCGTAAAGTCCAGCGGCAATCTGGTCATCCGTCAGATTCACAGGAGGCAGCGTGCTTTCCTGAGTGGGGAAGGCGTCCTGGCCAATGTCAGGTGTCCCCCCTTCTGTGGCCCTGACCTCTTCTCCATGCAGGGACGCGGATGGAAGGGTCCCATACGTACAGGCGTACCCCAGATCACTACCTGGAGGAAGGAGAGGGGTGTTAGAAGGGTGGGGGGCTAACCTATCAATCCCGACTCTAGAGACCCTGAGGGACAGGGCAGAACAGCCCCACAGGGTTTCCCCGACTGCCATCCTAACGGCAGCAGAGCTAAGCGGTCTTTATAGAAGATTCCGGCACACTCGTTTACTCAGACACTTCCCTTACTCCTGTTTTTACATCCTGATTAATGCTAATGGCTCAGCTGTCCAGGTCACCAAGCTCAAACCCCTGGGGATACATCTGGACATGCTAAAACTGGCCAGACCCACAGCACCTCACCTCTCTTCCTGTCCATCTGTCTGCCCCAGCCCCACCCACTCTGTCCTTTGCCTCCGCTGCAGCGCTGCTCCAAACCCGCTGCCCTGTAAGGCCGAGCACAGGCTGCGCTAAATCTTTACGATGCAGACGGTCTCACCTGCCCCCTTCGAGAGGCTGTGGCTGGTGGGTAGGAAATACCCCAGTGCTTACCAGGGCTCCTAAAGCTACTGCTGTTGTTGTGAAGTGCCATCGAGTCCGTTCCGACCCATAGCGACCTTGTATAGGGTTTCCGAGGAGGTTGAACTGCCGGCCTTGCGGTTCAAACTACGCTGCAGTCTGGCGCATTAACCCACAGTGTGAATCCCAGGGAGTGGACTCTGGCTCATGGTGCCCCCATGTGTGTCAGAGCAGAACTGCTATCAATAGGGTTTCCTACCCCCTGCCTCCTTGGCTGCAGAGAATCTTTTGTTGTTCACAGGTACCAACAAGTGGATTCCGACTCATAGCGACCCTCTGCATGACAGGAGGAAATACTGCCTGACCCTGCGCCATCCTCACAATTGTCATGTTTGTGCCCACTGAGGCCGCCACTGTGACAACCCATCTAGGGGTCTCCCTCTTTTTTGCTGACCCTTCACTTTGCCAAGCATGATGTCCTTCTCCAGGGACTCGTCCCTCCAGACAATATGTGCAAAGTTAATGACACGAAGTCTCACCATCCTGAACATTCTGGCTGTACTTCTTCCAACACAGATTTGTTTGTTCTTCCGGCAGTCTGTGGTGTATTCAATTTTCTTGGACAACACCATCATTCAAAGGCACCAATTCGTCTGCAGGCTTCCTCATTCCTTATCCAGTTTATGCACGCATATGAGAAGACTGGGTCAGAGGCACCTTAAGTCCTCAGACTGACATCTTTGCTCCTGAACATTTTAAAGAGGTCTTTTGCAGCAGTTCTGCCCAATGCAATACATTGTTTGATTTGATTCCCACCCACATGGAGGTGCATTGTGGATCCAAGTGAAATGAAATCCTTGAAGACCTGAAGATTTTCTCAATTTATCATGATGTTGCTTTATTGGTCCAGTTGTGAGCAGCTTCGTTTTCTTTTTGTTCAGTTGTGATCCATACTGAAGGCTGTAGTCTTTGATCTCCAGCTTGAAGTCCTCTTTGCTTTCAGCAAGAGCAGGGTTGTATCATCTGTCAAGAGTCTTTCTCCAGTTCAGATGCCACGTTCTTCCTTAACAAGTTCATTGGCTGCTGGAACTTGGCAGCCGCTCGGGGGGGTGGGGGGTGAAAAAATGAGGCTGCCTGTTCCCATTAACATGAGCAGGCTCTGAAACCAGTTTTACTCTGCTCTCTAGGGGTCCTATGAGTCGAAGCGGGCTCAATAGCCGTGGGCTTGGGGTTTAAATTAACTAAAGTTGTATGGACTTAGTTTGAGGCAAGAACATCAAAGTTGAATGAGCTCTCCTTTATTCAAGTCAGAGGAATTTGGTCATCCAGATGGTGTACGTGGGTAATGTGCTTGAATACTAACTGAAAGATGGAAGCTTCAAGTCCACCCAGAGGGCCCTGGAGAAAAGGCATGGCAAATCTAGGTCTGAAAAACCAACCACTGAACACCCTCTGGAGGGCAGTTTTACTGACACACACGGGGCACCATGTGTCAAAGATGACTTGGCCGTTGGTAAAAGGAGCAGAAATTGTGTTCCTGGCAGACTTGAATGGCCTGTAAGTCATCTCTGCAGTTGATAATAAGATGTACACAGAGACGACGTGTTCCTCTGGCAAATGACTGGCAAGTTCACACACACCCGCCTCACAGGGTTACAACAGCCAGTTGCCCAGTCTTTCTCTCATGGAGTGGCTGGTGGGTTTGAACCACCAACCTTTCTGTTACCACCGAGTGCTTAATTGGTGCCACCAGGGCTCTTTCGCATGGGCACTATCAGCCAAACCAACCTAACCGCCACTCATAGGGTTTCTGAGACTGTAAATATTTATGGGAGAACATGTCCTCAGCTTTCGCCCACGAAACGGCTGGTGGGTTTGAACCAACAACCTTGAGGTCAACAGCCAACACCTAACCCACAACACTAGCAGGGCTCGTTAGAATGCGTGTTAGCAGCACTGTGTTTCTTAATTTGTCCGGAAATTGATTTTGCTAAAGATACTGAAATGGATATGTGGTGCTGTGGGTTAATGCACTGGACTGCAAAGTTGTTTGACCCTCAAGGTCGGTGGTTCAAGCTCACTAGATGCTCCTCAGAAACCATATACAGGATCGCCATGGGTCAGAACCAATTTGACAATACAACAAAAACAACAAAAAAACAGAGTTGGAATATGAGAGCATGGTTCCGACCCACAGAGACCCTGTACAGAGTTTCCACTGACCCTGCGGTTCAAACCGACTCTGCGGTCCAGCGCATTAACCCACAGCACCACACCAGGACTCGCTGCCAACTCTGCTGGCATACTAATTCATATGTTTCTCTCTAAAGTGCTTTGTGAAAACACTGTGACTTACGGGTAATGTGGCTGGTTACTTAGCCATGTCACCGGGTGGGATTTTCAGTTATTCTGATTTGACATTTATAGGACCCTTAATTTCCTTGTCAAGAATAGGTAAGGCATGGACTTATGGGGGCTGTTCAACCATTTAGCTATTTCCCCAAAGTTCAACTAAGAATTCACATCACGAAAGGGGGCTTGTGAGTACATTTTCAGCCCTAACGTTGCTTCTGGGGTTGAGAGTAGGGCACCTTCATGAAGGGATGTTCTTTTTCTGGGACACAGGGAGCCTGGAGTTTTGAGGGAGGAGGAGGAGGAGAATCCCTACTGGGAACTCCTGTAAAGGGTCGCTATACATCGGAACTGACTCCAGGGCAGTGGGCCTTGGTTTTGGATTTTGAAAGAACTCTGATAGTTCAATGTTTGAGTGCTCAGCTGCTTCCAGAAGCTGGCAGTTCAAACCCACCCAGTAGCCCCATGGAAGAAAACATGTGTGGATCTGCTCCCGTAAATAAGACAGCCTGGAGAGACCATGGGCAGCTCCCTTCTGTCAGGTGGGCTGCTGTGAATGAGAAGCCACTCAAAGGTACCCAGCCACAAGGTAGTTTTGACCTCTTCCTGGGAACACAGCAGACAGCTGTTCTGTAGGAGCAAGATCTCATTCAGAAAATGCTAGAGTGGGTTGAGGAAACAATACTTCGTCACCACAACCCCATTTACACTTAATGACAGATCCTCTCCCAGCCTGACCCAGAGAACTGGGACCCTCTGTTTCAGGAGAGCTGGGGCAACAGAGGACAAGTCAAGTGGCACCATTTTCCCAAGTGTGTGTAGTCACTTCACGTCTCTGTGCCCCGTCTTGTTCCTTCTCACAAGACTTCAGGCCTTTCCATCATACCAATGCACATGTCTTGGGGGTCCTGGTGTGGCTCTGTAGGGTAAGTACTGGACTGCGAACCACAAGGTTGCTGGTTCAAACCCACCACTCGCTCCTCGGAAACACTAGACAGAGTTGCTATGAGCTGGAACTACTCAACAGCCCTTAACAACATTGCACACGTCATGAATTACCCAAAGAAACTGATCACAACCCCAACCCTACTGCCATCAAGTCAATTTCAACTCAGAGTGACTCTCTAAATCTTTATGGGGGTACACAGCCTCCTTTTTCTCCCGCAGGACAGCTGGTGGGATTGAACTGCTGACTTTGCAGTTAACAACCCAGTGCTTATTCCACTGAGCCACCAGAGCTCCTTTCATAGACAGGAGTGTAAAATGTAAGCCTAATTTTTATATTGCTCCACTGCGGTGGTCTGGATCCTAAGTCAACCTGCATGCTCTTGCCTCCTGCATGTTTTGTGGCTCCTGACATATCCCATCACCGGTTACTGACACATGGGATTCATGACCTTGCTTTCCGACTGGAAGCAATTCTCCCAGGTGCATGCAGCCCACTCTACGTCCCTCTCCATGACTACATCCCTCTTTCTTTGCATAGCAGAACAACAAACTGAAACAACCCAAACATACTCACAGTGCCCCACGTGTGTCACCGTACAAACGTGCTCTGTGGGGCTCTCAGTGGCCAATCTTTCAGAAGCAGATCACCAGACCTTTCTTCTGAAGCACTTCTGGCTAGACTTGAACCTCCAACCTTTCTGTTACCAGCACATTAACTATTGGTGCCACCCAGGCGCACCATTTTGCACATGTTGTCATGTGCTGGTGAGTTGAGTCTGACCCTACATGACAGAACAGAACAGTCTCATTGGGCTTTCTACGGGTCACCTTTAAGGAAGCACACTGCCAGGGCTCTGCTGTGGAGTGGCTGGTGGGTTTGAACTGCTGACTTTTCAGTTAGAAGTCATGTGCTTACCTACTACACTCCCAGGGTTCCTTATTTCATGTATAAACCCACTGCTGTTGAGCCACTTCTGACTCACACCAACCTACAGGGTTTCCGAGGCTGTCATCTTTACATAGACTGCTTCACCTCTGTCTCCTGAGCAGTTGGTGGGGTCAAACTGCCGACCTACTGGTTAGCAGCTAAGCACGTGGCCACTGTGCCCCACCAGGGCTCCTAGACGCCCCCCACCCCCGCCCCCGAAAGCAAAGCCAGTGTCACCGACTCCACTCTGACTCACAAGGACCCTAGAGGACAGGAGAGAACTGCCCCACAGGGTTTCTGAGGCTAAACTGTTAGCTGCTGTCCCCAGTCGGCCTCGACTCATGGAACCATCACTCCCAGGACCAGCAGCACCTCTATTGGCTGGTCCTTGGTTGTATCGTTGTGAGCCACAGCACTGGGGTCTCCACTGGCTAACTTTCAGAAGTAGATTGCCAGAGGAGTGACTGGCTCACAAGCTTTCAAGATGGAACCTAGATCCAGAGGGCGTGGGGGAAGGTAGAATCTCCCCTGAGTAGTATCCAATCTGTCTAGGCGGGGCTGATTAAAGGAAACGTGGATAGGTCTCTTGTGATACAATAGTGAATAATTGTTATCAGGACTGCTTGTGAGGGTTGGAAATGTAAAGGTAGACGTTTTGTAGCAAGGAGGGGAGTGATTAACTTTTCAACCAAGGAGTGGAGGTCCCTGGGACCATCAAGGGAGAAGAGCGGAGAGCGGGACCCTACCCAGAGAAGCAGTGACACCAGAGATGGAGGCAGAGACGATGACATGGAGAGATGGAGCCGCTGGAGACTCTAGACCCAGAGAGGGAGAGAGGCTGTGTGCTGACGACTGGGGGTCCAGCTTGTAGGGTATACTCTGTGGTTGGTTGATGAGGCATGGAGGGGATTGTAACCATGGCAATGAAATGATATATGATAGCATGAATGTAAAGCTAATGTTCTCCCATGTAAACTATCACATAATTCACAATAAAACATTAAAAAAAAAAAAAAAAGTAGATTACCGGGCCTTGCTTGCATGTCTGTCTCAGTCTGGAAGTGACGCTGAAACACAGAGACCAACAAGCTCCGGCTGACAAACAGGTGAAGACTGAGCATGTGCTGCACTGGCCAGATATCAGACCTGGCTCCTCCCCATGAAACAGGAGAAACCTCCTACTGAGCCCACAGGGTGGCACTGTTGTTGTTGTTAGTGAGTTTCCAAGGAGCAGTTGGTGGGTTTGAACCACTGATCTTTTCCTTAGCAGTCCAGTGCTCATTCTACAGCGCTACACCAGGACTCCCAGGACAGTCTTACTGTTGTCAAATGCCTTCAAGTCCTTTCTGATTCATAGCAACCCTGGATAGAGTTTTCCAAGGAGAAGCTGGTGGATTTGAACCGTGTAACTACGTTGTTAAATGCCATTGAGTTGGTTTTGACTTATAGCGCTCCTGTACAAGGTTTCCAAGGAGTAACCGGCGGATTTGAACCACCGACAGTACGTTGTTGTTGTTGTTAAGTGCTATCGCATCAATTCCGACTCAGTGACCCTATACAGAGTTTCTAAGGAGCAGTTGGTGGGTTTGAACCACTGACCTTGTGGTTCTACCAGACCTTGCAGTCTGGTGCTTTATCCCGCCATGCCACACCAGGACTCCCAGACTGCATCAGTGCTTCGGAAAGTGCGTGCTTTTTTGTTCCCAAGTGCTGTAGGACTCCCACAGCCTCGAGACTTAGTTAGGATGTGAAAGACCCCAGCCTTATGGAGAGGAAACCTTTGTCAGGCAGCCAGAGCAAACTCCCCCGGTTCATCGTGTTGGGGGCTCCACAGTGACACAGCTGAGTGATCTGGGAGGAAACCCCAGTATGGGGAGGCGGGTGGAGGGCTGGGAAGAAAACGCCTTTTGAACGGACGAGCCGTGCGCATCTGGGCCCGGAGGTATTTGTGAATTTTAGTTTGACTTCCACATCTGACATCATAATTTTCTTAAGGATGTGGAAACAGACATATTATTAGTTACTTAGGTCAGAGTTTACGGCAGTCAATGTGTGGTTTCAATCCTCTTTCCTCTCAACCGGCCCCGCTGCAGAGTTATCTAACCCCAAACCCCCACATCAGCTGTCATGGGTTATTTTCCCTCCTGAATAAATGATTTGTCCCCCTGCACGAAGTGACTAAACATAGATATGAATTCAGGGTTGAAAGTGGAAACGCAGGAAGGAGAAAAGAAGGCTATTTTCATCCGTGTTCATCACTCCCCTCTCAGGCTGGGGAGAGATGCTGAGAGGTGGGAAGGATTCACTTCCGTTCAAGTCTGCGTCACTGATTTTCACACAACACTCTACTTATCGTGGTGCTGGAGGAAAGGCAATGGACTGCTAACCATAAGGTCAGCAGTTCAAATCCAGGGTCCGCTCCATGGGCGAAAGATGAGGCTTTCTGCTTCTATAAAGATTACAGCCTTGGAAACCCTATAAAGGGTTACTACGAGCTGAAAACGACCCGATGGCAGTGAGTTTTGAGTTGTAGGACCCAGGCGTCCCAGTGGCACTGCGGTTAAAGCACTCAGCTGCCAACCAAAAGACTGGTGGTTTGAACCCATCAGTGCATTCCATAGTAAAGACCAGACAATCCACTTCCTTAAAGATTACCCCTAGAAAACCCTATGCGGCTGTTTTTCTCTGTCACATAGGATCAGAACCGACTCACAACGGCACACAACAACATGTGCAAAACGGTGTTCTTGGGTAGTGCCAACAGTTAATGAGCTGGTAACATAGTGGTTACGAATCGGGCTGCCAACCTCAGGGTCAGCAGTTCAAAACCAGCTGTTTCGTGGGAGAAAGACGAGGCAATCCGCTCCCATAAAGACTTACAGCCTCGGAAACCCTGTACTGGGTTTGCTATGAGTTGGAACCAACTCCACGGCACACAACACCACCACCACCAACTGAAGACTGCAGATTTAGAAGTCCTATTGTTGTTGTCAAGTTCAGTCCAGTTGGTTCTAACTCATAGAGATCCTGTGCAGGTTACTGACCAGTAACTGGTGGGTTTGAACCACCAACCTTTGCAGTTAATCCCAGTGTTAATTCTCAGTGATGACAATCTCAAGTTGCTCATGGATTCTGAGCCTTGGTTTTCATTCTACCCATTATCTGTTTGACGCTTTCTCCCTGGTTCCCCAAAATGATTCCAGTGGGTAAAACGCATCGTCACCTCCCGGAAAGACATTATCGCTACCCTTCCCCGGCCCAAGGATGGCCTACCTGTGCTTCTATCCAGACTGGTCTCCTGGAAGCCGGAGCGCTTCAGATCCTCAGCGCTTGCCGATTTCATGACGGAATTGATGGACGACAGGGTACTAATGAGCTGTGAGTTGAGGGAACCAATCTGTGAGTGAGGCTCCCCAAAAGCTTCCGACAGCTCAGCGTAATTCTCCGCCAGCAGAGCTTGCTGCTCTTGTAGCAGCTTCTGGACCCGCTCGATGTAGTGGTCCAGGCCGGCCACCGTTCCGCATGGAGCCTGGGGCTGGGGGCTCTCCAGGAACTCGCCGACAGGCTTGTCACCAACGCCAACACTCCGCCGGCTGCTCATCAGGTCCGTGGTCATCTGGGGGGGGCCACAGGCTATGCTCCTCATTCTGAGACCAACCAGATAGTGCTCATTAATATTAACCTGTCCCACCCCCGAATCTCTGGTCTTTACAGTCGATGGCTTGTCAAACCCAGAACTGCCAGAAATCAAGGTTCCCACCCCAATGGACCGCGTCTTGGGCGGGGAGCTGATGTCCCTGACGCGGCCTTCCCCTACGGCCACCGTCCGCATCTCCACAGTCTGGGTGCTGGTCTGCTTGTCCAAAGTGATGAGGCTAGTGTTGGTGCAGGATTCTACAAGGGGCACCGCCTCGGTGTTGGTGAACTGGTCCATCTGCTCCACAACCGTACTGGTGTGCTGGTTTGTAGTGTGAGGGACAGCCATGATAGCAGCTTCCACCTGGCCCGCGGTCTCGGTGTTCACGCCCCGGGAGGTACAGGCCTCGGGACAGCACACCTTCACGTGCACAGAGCAATCCCCGCAGCCGATGGACCGCACGTCTTTGAGGCTCACGTTGGTCTTGAGCAGCGCCAGCTCGTTCACAGACTCCTCTGTGTTGCTGCCCGTCTCGCAGACGCTGGCGGCCACGCCCACAGCCACATCGCACGTTTCCACGGAGGTCCCAGTACATCGGTCATGTACGTCCACCCTCTCCTTCACAGTCCAGCGATGCATGGGCAGCTCGGGCCCCGCGATGGTACTCCTGCAGTCAGGCCCGCAGGAGACGGCGACGCTGTGTGTTGGCACAGTGGTCCCCACACCGGCGTCCACCACGGTCATGTGACGGCCCACTGACTGGTCCCTCGTCTGCACGACGGCCTCCACCATCTTGCTGAAGACGAGCGGCTGGGCCAGGCTGGCCTTGTCCACTTTCTTCCTGGACCCGGCAGCTTGCAGCTCCTGCTTCAGCCTCGTCATCTCCCGGTCGTGGGTGGTTTCTTTGAGCTGCACTTGCAGGCGGTAGACTTTCTCCTTTAAGGCTTCGATGGTCTGTTGCTGAAGCTCAATCTCTTTGTCAGCTTCTGTGGTCACTCCCAGCATGGTCTCTGTCACACCGACACCTAAATTCCTCGTCTCAGTGACCGTCCCAACAGCCACGTCCTTCTGGGACCCGAAGCCTCGGCGATACATGACGACATCGTCCATGTCTTCGTTGGTACCCACTGCCACGGACCGGCGGTCCAGGCCCCGGTCCTCGCCGTTCATCCTGAGCCCCGGGATGGCCTCGTAGCTGCTGTCTTGGATCTTCTGCTCCAGGGCCTGCATGTCGGCCGTGAGCTGCCGGAACTCCTTCAGCCTCTGCGTGCTCTGCTCCACGCTCTCCAGCTCATCGTCTTCATCACCGATGTACAGCTCCCCGCTGCCCCGCCGCCGGACCTGGCACAGCTGCGAGGCGTTGCCGGCGCTGTAGGAGCGCTTCCGCAGCCCACAAGTGTCATGCTGAGGGGCGGCCCGCTGGGTCTTCAGCTGCGAGGCCAGCTGCCTCTTCTCCTCCTGCAACACGGAGATTTTCACCTGCAGCACCGGGATGGTGCGCACCTGCTCCTCCAGCTCCTTCAGGCGTTTCAAGGCCACGGCCATCTGCTCGCGGATGTGCTGCAGGTGCATGGGGCTCACGTTGGTCACGGGGGTGGAGACCCCCGAGCTCAGTGGGCTGTGGCGGAGGGAGCTTCCCATGGAAGAGGTGGTGGCCGCGGCCGGGGTGTAGCCGCTGTAATCCCCGTTGCCTTGGAATCCATTCTGAAGGGGGTACCCGATAGGGTTGTGGCTTCCGGAACCAATATAAGACGGGAGGGGGCTGGTGGAGCTTATGCCTCCAAAACTGGCCAGCCGGGGCCTCCGGAAGTCGCCCGGCACCACCTGCATGGCCACCCTCTCCTGTTCCAGCCTTCTCCGCGTCTCCATTAATGTCTTGGTGACATGGAGGTTATGCTTGGGGAGTTGGGGTGAGGGAGGCGGCAGCTGTCGGCTGTCTGGGACGGACAGGAAGGTGGGAGAGGTCTCCTGAGGACCAGGTGGCCGTGGGATTGGCGTGGACGTCAGCAGGCTCTTGGCGAGGAGGAAGCTGGGACACTGTTTGTTGTCACTGTGAGAGGAGGACAGGGACTCGGTGGAGGTCCACACAGCTTGCTGCCCGGGCGTAGCCCTGGCTTCGGGGCATGGCACGGATGACTTGGTCCGCTTCTGGAAGTTCAGTTTCTTGACAGTGTTCCCCTTTTGTATGTCATCCACGTATTTGAGGAAGTCTAAGTCCAGCTGATAACCATACGGGGTCTCCACAAAATAAGGGTCGTTCTGTTCCTTGTCATGGTCTCCATTCAGAACGTCATCTGGCTTTCCTGAGCGAGACAGACAGAGAGAGAGAAAAAACATCACAATACTATTCGAGATGCATGGTGCAGCGAGGGTGTAGGGTGGAGTGAGGGTGTAGGGTATAGTGAGGGTGTAGGGTA